CGCCAACCCCGCATTTGGCGAGGAGGTGATGGTGGCGGTGACCGCGGCGGCGGCGAGGGCGGCGGCGCGGCTGGCGGCGAGGGCGAGAGCGGCGGCAAACCGGACGGGGGCGGCGGCGAGGGTGGCGGCGGAGCGGGAGGCGGCGGCGAGGGCGGCGAAGACGGGGGCAAAGGAGAGGGTGGCGGCGTTGTTGGAGGCGGTGGCGAGGGTGGTGGCGCTGCCGGTGGCGAAGGCGAGAGCGGTGGCAAACCGGACGGAGGCGGCGGCGAGGGTGGCGGTGGAGCGGGAGGCGGCGGCGAGGGCGGTGGCGCGGCTGGCGGTGAGGGTGAGAGCGGCGGCAGCCCCGACGGGGGTGGGGGCGAGGGTGGCGGCGGGGCCGGCGGCGGTGGCGAGGGCGGCGGCGAGGGTGGTGGCGGCGAGGGTGGAGGGGCGGCTGGTGGCGAGGGCGAGAGCGGCGGCAGGCCCGACGGAGGCGGGGGTGAGGGCGGCGGTGGCGAAGGTGGCGGCGAGATCGGCGGCGGTGAGGGCGGCGGCGCGGCCGGCGGTGAGGGTGAGAGCGGCGGCAGGCCGGAGGGGGGCGGCGGCGAGGGCGGCGGCGGCGCTGGTGGCGGCGGCGAGGGCGGCGGCGCTGCCGGCGGTGAGGGCGAGAGCGGCGGCAGGCCCGATGGGGGCGGGGGCGAGGGAGGCGGCGGGGTGGGAGGAGGCGGCGACGGCGGCGGCGATGGGGGCGGCGGCAAGCTGGGTGGACGGGGCGACGGTGGAGGCGACGGCGGTGGCGCGGCTGGTGGGGAGGGCGAGAGCGGCGGCAGCCCGGATGGGGGCGGCGGCGAGGGCGGCGGTGGAGCAGGAGGCGGCGGCGAGGGCGGTGGCGCTGCCGGCGGCGAGGGCGAGAGCGGCGGTAGCCCCGACGGGGGCGGTGGCGATGGCGGCGGCGGAGCGGGAGGCGGCGGTGAGGGCGGTGGCGGCGAGGGAGGGGGCGGCGAAGGCGGTGGGGCGGCTGGCGGCGAGGGTGAGAGCGGCGGCAGCCCTGATGGAGGCGGCGGTGAGGGCGGTGGTGGCGCTGGTGGTGGCGGCGACGGTGGTGGCGAGGGCGGCGGCGCGGCTGGCGGCGAAGGCTAGAGCGGCCGCAGCCCCTACGGCGGCGGCGGCGATGGTGGAGGTGGGGCTGGGGGCGGGGGCGACTGTGGTGGCGATGGCGGCGGC